TGCGAGCACAGACCGATGCTGCTGGAGGGCCCATGACAGTTCTATTGCTGCAGTGGATGCTCTTTGCAGAGACCAAGGGACAACCCACCTCTGGCAAATGATGTCCTACTGGAAACAGGTCCTGAGAGCGCTATTGCAGCCGCAGTGCATTCCAGCCAAGGCCTGGGCTCCTACAGGTCCTACCCGCTGCTGCAGGGAAAGCCCCACAGCAGCTCCTGCAAGAATTAGGGGTGGGTGAGAGGTGCCCAGCACCCTGCCCTGCTTCCCCATGTTTCTGTGCAAACAGAGCAACTATGTGCTTCCTGCCTCCCTTAGACTAAGGAAAACAACTGGAGTAAGAGCAGAATCTCTCTGACAGAGAGCACAGCGTGTGTTGCTGTCCATGAGCTGCTGCAACACAGAGCTAAGATGGCATCTCCTGTCTGCATGCATAAAACCCACAGGTAGTCCTCAGGTTGTTTAGCTAATGCAGACGTTCCTCATGTAAGCATGGCCAGACAAACCCTGTAGGAAGAAAAGAATCATATCTTTTTGTATGCTGATTCCTGTGTCACTAAATTCATAACCTTAATATCACATTAACACAGCATGTGCATTTGTGCCGTAATTGCATTCCAGCTGCCTGAACGCTCTTCTTAATTTAGTCATGCTACTTTAGCTTTGTTGTGAGTTACAAATCATTCTTGCTCTCAAGAAACAAATTAATTTACAGATGTTACAAGAGATAGGATTACCCAGCAGGATTTCTTTTTTTTAACACATGCAATGTATAAACTTTATTAAATGAAAGCAATTTCTTCAGGGAAGTTCAACAGGCACTTACACTGATGGCAGAGGGAGACAAATTACAAAGGTTTTTGAGCTTCAAGGAGCATCACACCCTCCTTACAATTGATTTGAAGGAACTCTGCTGCAAACAGTACACCAAAGAAGAACGTGAGTTGTAACATGTACCTGTACAGGTTTTTAAACACTCAATGATTTTTCAAGGGCACAGATATTATGCATACACAATTATCATCAGGACATGAAGTGTTGACTTGTTTGAGGTTGGTGGCATATTTTTTACTCTGAAAAAGCTTTTTCAGTCATTATGAATTTTGTCATGGTTTTGGTCAAATTTTCAAGGAGAAGGTTTTCTATTGGCCCAACAGTTTGAGGCTAAAACCTAAAACATTCTCTACTTTGTTATAATGATCTGTGTATGGATGAGTTATCTGGTTCATCAAATAATAATTATGGGTTAAAGCAAAACCAATCTTTTCTGGACTACTGGCAAGCAGTCATACCTTTGTGCAGCCTTTTCCTGCCATATTTACTCCAATCCCAATCACCCCCTTGATCATGCATTTACTGAGTTAAATGGTTGTTGGGGAAGGTGCACTTTTGCCTGTCAGAGTGCTCTTCCTAATAAAAATAATTAGATATGGTGTCAACAGATGGTGCTGAAGAGCAGCAACATTATCCTGGACTGCTGTAACATCAAGAATATTCCTAAGGAATTGCAACTGCTGCCACTAGCTGCTGTTTACATAAACTTCCAGTGACCTCTACTTCTGGAGATGTTTCACTGTTTCCAGACATCAGTATGTAATAAATGTTGGTATTTCTATGAAAACATCTTAACATTTCAAATAAACATGAAAATTTCATTTTGTACAATAATAATATGTCACTATAATTTTTTAAGCCATCTTCTTTAATTCCTTCTTTGGAATTTGCAATGTACTTTCAGTATATGTTGTCCACTCTTTTGGAGTACTTGAGAGACTCTGATACTATGATGTATGAGGACAAAACACACCTTTCACCTCTAGTCCCAGTGATCTTTCTGCCTTGTTGTCCAAGCTCTCCTCATAGTATTGACAGCCAGGGAGACCGTCTGAAGAGGAGCTGGTGAAATAAAGTTTATTTTGAATAGGGTGATGTCATGGGTTCAGTAATACTGACTTCAGGCCATACATTTAAGACAAAAATATCACAACTGTTCCCAGCTGGTAGCTTAACAAAAATACATCAGTCTTGAAGGGCATGGAAACCTGCTCTTGGAGGCTGCTTACTCTCAGAGAGATCTGAGAATTCCAACCTTCTCTCTTCACACTTTATATATCCAAGAGGAAAAAAAATCAACGCCCCTACTTGTAGAAGAGATTGCCTCAATAATGCTTTGAGAATTTAATATCAAGATTTTAAAGAGATGCTGCAACTTAACTAAAACCTACACCTTTTTCCTGGGTTTTGCTGGGATACAGTTAATTTTTCCTAGTAGCTGATGCACTGCTGTGTTTTTTGCTTCTGAACAATCAGATGCAATGTGTTGACCTGTGTTGTACAAGTAGTCAGATTTTCCCTTATGGCTCTTTTCTGTAAAATCTATAACTTTCAGTCTTGAATGCTCTTAGACAAGAGAAAAATTAAATTGTATCTGGAGAGGAGTGAAGGATGTACACTTTGGATACCACTGCACACAAATACTGCTGAATCAGCCCTAGGCTTCCCATAGCTGCTAAGGAAATCTCTGTCTCTTTCATCTCTCACATAAATTTAAACATTTCAGCTTGTATAGCCCCTCACTACAGACACCAATGCCCCTAAGAATGGGACACTGCACTTGGCTTGAGTCTCTAGACTCGGCTTGCTTCCACCTAAACTTAGGCACACAAAACCAAGGGAGAGCCAAACTGCTCCCTGCAAGGACTGCAACAAGAGAGCTTAAGAGGGTAAGACTTCAATACCTTGGATGCTGTTTATCTAAAGAGCGTAGGTTTAGGTGTAGCCTCAAGTCAATCTTTAAATGATGTAACATCACAGCTCATCAGATTCTCATCAGGAGTAACACTAAAATTGCCAATAGGCTGCATTTTGGAGAAAGACCAAACCAGTCACAAGATCCTTCACTCTGCATTTTTAGGAATCTTGATCTGCTTACTCAAATCAAAATTGTTCATGATTGATCGTGTAGCTTGTGCAGTTTCTCTCTGTCAAACTTCCTAAATTGATTGAAATAGATAGTTTCAAGACAGATGTATAACACAATACATCTATCCCACAATAATACCCCACAATACATAGCGTGAATGAATGGTGCTGACAAGAACTGATATGCTTCGTCCCACATAACCACATCATATAGAACTATGTGCAACTTACGAAAGGTCAAAAATCTTAAAATAGCTGACATCCACAAGCCCACCTTCTCCTTCAAACTAGCATAGATAATGTCACCGCTCAATTACTGCTGCACTAATTTCTTTTTTTCCAACACACCATGACATTTTGATGCCAGACAATTTTTGATCTCTTGTAACCAAACCTTGGAGGGAGGCTGGATGTCACACATTTTTATTTGGATTCTTGGGTTTCATGCAAGTGACAGCTGGATTTTTTTTTCTCCAGCATATTCCAATATTCCATAAAGATTTGTGTTAAAGACTCATCCATGCACCTTGTCTCTGAAGTACCAGAGGATGTGGCATATGTGATTCATTAACTGAACATTTGTTTCCCCGAGAGCAATACATGTGTCACTTGTGCTCTGAGGCAATGCATCTTTCTCTAACAGTCTGCACCTACTTCCTTCCGATTCCTGGGACAGACAGCAAGTAGCAGTGATGTATCTGGCCCCACTCCATGCAGTGCAGGTTCAGGGAGCCAGCAGCCCACGCTGAGGACTTTGCAAGGTCAGGCTTCAAGTACTTCTTGTGCCCAGAGCTTGGACTGCACCACAGTGCCAGTTTGTGATGCAGAGCTCTTCTGCAAGTCAACTTTGCCTCCTCTTCACCCAGGTAGGGCGGAAGTAGGAAATTTAAGGCAAGGAAGGATAGGACACTAGGTGTGCATGACCACCAGCATGTAGCAGGCCACCATCCCAGGCTGCCAGAGGAGTTTCCTGCATACAGTAGGGTCACAAAGAGAGAAACGGAAGACACCATGGGGATGGCAAGGGCATGGAGTCATTGACAGAAGGACTGAGAAAAAATATCCACCTTGTCCTCGCTGAAAGCTTGCAACACCTTCCAGGCCTTCTTGGTGACATTAGCACACATCTTTACCTTAGCTGCCTACAATGTGTCATGAAAATATTTTGTATGGCGTTAAATCACATCATATAAAATTCAATCACAGTGATTTCACTCTGTGAAACAGAGTTAGTTTTTAGTTCAGACTGGTAATTCTGTCAAAGTTGTCAAATTCCATCACTAAGCTGTCCCAGTGTACATACTGAAGAATCTGAGCTGGATTGCCACCCCACACTGCTCCCCTCTTCTTGTGGTTCAGTGTAAGTCTTGTCTGCCCCAATTTGATTGAATTAGATTTCAATCTCTTATTAGAGTCAGATTTTAAAAGCCTTGGAAGAACAAATCCATAGTTAATAGGCTGTGCCTGGAACCTTATCCATGCTTTACAAAATTTTGGTTTCAGTGGTCTATATACTGAGAAGGTGAGTTACTGCCTGAGCACTCACACCATGCCACAAGATGATCCTGGGTTTTGAAGACCAGCCAAAGTCTGAGTCAATACACACTTCTATGTATTTTCAGATAAAATCTACATTAGGTTACACTGATCATACCACACAGAGTATAAAATAAATACCATCCCTCCTCTAAAGGAGCATTTTATATGGCAGGGGACTCAAATGCTCTTCATAAAACATCAGCACCTCTGCACCCTTCCATGCACAAACCACTCAGTGAAAAAGCAATGCACGTTCCTGCAGTATCTGCTGAACCTTTGTTTTGCTATTGCTGACTGAAATCAGGTAACATTTTTCCTGAAATATTTTGCTGGAATAAACTACACCAGAAGCAAACAAACCTATTCTGCTATTTGATCACCAATATCTTTATAAAATGTCATATTTTCTTCTAGGCAAAGTTCAGCCATTAAAACAATTATTTGGTTGGTAAAATTAATTAATATAATTTTGTGCAATAAAGAAATTCTAGCTTAAAAAAAGTAAGCAAACCAACTCTTCAGTTGCTGAATATTTTATTTTTTTTAATTCATACACCTGAAATCCAAAGGTTTATACAAAATATAAAGTAAAATAAAACTCCAGTATGTTTTTGCTGATGTTAAAAACTGCAGTTTTGTGGTTTTTAATCATTTATTGTAAATATGAAGAAGGGGAGGAAAACTGCCAGTGTATCTACTGAAAGCACTTAACCTTTTGGATACCACGTCATTATTGTTGCAATGAGAGTTGGCTAAGACGATTCAATTTTTTCAAGAAATGTCAATTTTATTCAACTCTTCCAGCAGAAATGTATCCTGTTTCATGAAGAAATTCACTGAGAGGTGAACTTCAGTTCAAAACTTTTTGCTGTCTCACCCCAGAAAGAAACCCACATTCAGTTCTTACTGAACAGAGCAAGGGCCTGCTTTTGCCTCCCCCACCTAGTGGGAATGCAGCAAACAAAAGGCCACTGAGAGAGAAATAGAAGGCACTATAAAAACACATATTCAAACTTCCCTTACTAGCAAAATTCAAAACAAAATACACTTAGCCTCCTCAGCTGCGAGAGGAAGTGCAGCAATATGAAGAGATGAACATTTGGGCAGAATGTAGGAAGCAAATCCTGCAGTAGAGGAATTAAGTCCATCAGCATGTGGAAGGTGTATGTATGGAATACAGCTTGCAGAACTAGGTCCTGTGAGAAGCTGAATGGCTTTTGCAAGATGCTACTTGAGGGTACTCAGCACCAAGGGGTGGAAACCACAAAGCCCTCTGAAAGCATCATGCAGATTTAAGTCCCTAATGCAATATAAAACATATTTTGCTCCACTTAGTGACCTGAGAGCTTGCTTTGGTTTAGTTTTTTTTCCCAAGCATTTGTTGTTAAGTTAATTAAGCATTTAAAAATAACGGTCTCTAACTTTCCAGAGACTCCACATAAATACTAATCTGTCTTCTTCTAAGGGCCAGATTTTCTGCAAGGGCAAATCAATAATTTCACTGATTGAAGATCTGGCCTTAAAAGTCTATCCAGTGCATTAAAACCAGCGCAGCATGACACATGCTTTGGCAGTAGGACAACTCTCTGGATTAATATTTCAGGGAAATTTGGTGATTAAAAAAGAAGCTCTGTTTGAAATGCTGCCATTTCTTTAATCAGTGCTGACCACCACAGTTTCTCCTCTTGTGAACTGCACAGTTACGGTTGGAGTTTCAGTGTCACTCTCCTCAAGCTTTAGTCCAGCATTGTCCAAGCCAGTGCTCTCAGGTTGTGGCAAGGCAGTGGGTTCTGCTGTCCGAGTTGGAGTGGAGCAATACAAGGTGAAGCCCACCATGATGATAACGAAGGACAGGATATAAAGACCTGAAAACTGGCAGAGAAAAGAAAGAGATGCATTAAATCTTGCCTGGTTGTAAAAACATGTCAACGCTGCCTTGTTTTAAGAATGTGAAAGCTACCCTTCCTTTTAAAAATTATTTTAATGAGGATTATCACCATGACCTGGATTCAGGTCTGAAAATCAAAATTCAACAGTTCCATTTACTTAAAGACTTAAGCCTGCTGGCTGGTTTTCTTTGCATCTCATCCTCAACATTGTTGGACAGGGAGTTTCCTCAGGTCTACATACAAGAATCTTAACAGAGACAACAAATGGCTGTAAATATGGTGATACCGAAGGACAGGTGTTTACAGACACGAATGCTGAAACACCCTATCCCCAAGAGAATTTTGATTCAGCCCAGCCAAATATTTCAGGTCCTGGCAAGAAAATAATCTCTCCATCTTACTGAAAGTCATCAGAACAGTTGGTTCTCTGCACAGATCTCTTAACCACCTGTAGGCTTTACTACTGGACCAAAACCAGTTTGCTCCCAACATCCAGCAAGTCCTCGAAAGGAGGGAGACTGGAGCTACTTTTACAAGATCAGCATTTTTGCTTGGTTAAGACTGATGTAAGAGTGTGAACTGCTGAGGTACACCAGGCATTTGATTCACTGTTGATCACTTGCATGTTAAAATTTCAATAATTGCCAAAATTCGTCCACCTTGACAGAAAAATAAATGCTTACATCATAACACCAGATTCAATAATAAAAGGTGTAAAGTTATTCACAGCCAGGAATACTTCTTCATCAGATTTGGTAAAATTGTCCATATTGCCTTTGTCAAACCACACTAATTAAACAGTAGGAGGAAGGACATAGAGTATCCTACATCCTACTGTCAATATTCCCTAACCTCCTTAGCTTCCTTAGACATGCTTGAAGAATATGCTCTAGTCTATCAAGTAGCAGAGCTGGATGAAATGAATTGGAGTACCTGGACAATGGACTCTGATCCAAAAAAGACTGAGGCATCTACAATTAAGGCATTGCAATTCCTAGCTGGAAGTCACTTGGCATGGAAGTGTTCACTCTGTACAGGAGGAAGCACCAAGCTCTGAACATACCCTAGTGGAGGCAGCAGCATCACCCATGATCCTACCCCTGACTGACCCATTCCCATAAAATCGGCAGAGCTTGAGTCTGCATCAAATCACCTGCACAAATTCTCCAGCTTAAGGCCCTGAGTGAACATATGTACACAAGGACCTGGGCTGGCAGGTGAGACTGGACAGCCATGGGAGCTGCAGGCCCCTCTCACAGTGCAGCACACATAAGGCTGGAGGTGTCTCTGATCCTACTGAGTTAATTCCTCCATGAATGGATAGAGTCACCAAGTCAGGATGCCAAACCTGTTGCAGTGTAGCTGATTATTCAAGGTCTGTTCATGTTTTTGCAGCTATTGACACAGGTGAACCTTACCCACGCTGCTCCAACAGGCCTATGCTCTTTTTTTCCACTTTTGTTTTTGAGGAGAGCTCTGTGTTCTTTTCCTGGGATTTTTCTTTTTTTTTTTTTTTTATAATTTTGATTTCCAATATCACAACAATTTCATTGCTTCTGATGTTGATTTCAGTCATACTTTGTGCAGTTTATATCCCCATTAGCACTGTCAAGTCTAAAGACTACTTCAAATGTAAGTGGAGGACTGTAACTCCATCTAGTGTCTAGTTGTGCAGTACACTCCCTTCCATAGGAGTTTATATAACAAAAGCATTTGGAGGCCCTTTTTAATATTTCTCAAGGGATTACAGGTATTTATATAATGAGCTCTTTAGGAAGCACAGCAAAGATTCATTATGGAATGAAAGAAAAAAAGTTCAAAACAGGCATGCAAAATTCACATTTCACTTTAAACTGGGGCTGAAAAGTCAAGTACATTATCAAAGAATTGTGATCAAACCAGAATCTTATCAATTCCTGGGCTCTGCAGTAGCCACTGTTTGTACTGCTTCTGTTTCAGAGCAGGCTCAGACCACAGCAATTCAGAGCTCTTTGTGGCTTGCTCCACTCTGCAGCCCAGCCAAGCCCTCAGCAGCTTGCTGTGAAATATCAGCTGGTAACAGGGAATACAGAGCGATTCCTTGTATTTTTATTTGTAGATTCCTGTGGCAAGGGTGCTTTTTAATCCAGCAAATGTCCTGCCTGGTTTGTTTGCCCCATAGGTAAAGAAGGTATATGGTTAACTTGGCAATACGCTTTTCTGCTGTTGAGTATTATGTTAAAAGGCATGTCAAAAGCGTCCTCTCTCAGTTCACAGTGCCCAAGTTATCTCAAATTCTCTGATTACTAAGAACATAGCATTATTATTTCTCCCCTTTTTGCTACTTCTTTGTTTCTAACCACAGATTCAAGTTCCTATTTCAAAAAATATCTGAAATTCCCTGAATACAATACCAAAGTCTTCTAATTCATTTTTTTCTTTTAGCTACCAGAATAACCTGCTGTTAGCAATTATGAGATGGTATGTTCCCAGAAAAGCTTCTCCCCAAAATAAGCCAAAAATCCAAAAGAATAAAAGTTTAATATATCCCTTCCAAAGCTCTTCACTATTATGAATATAAATCTATAATCACTTCTCAAGTTAAGCTATCTGGGTGCCAAAATACATGTTTGGAAGTGACTTAGAAACAGTTTAATTGTTAGAATGTAAGTATGGTTTGCTTTCTGCATTCATTTTTAATGGATGCTTTGTAGCTTGGAGTAATTTTGGAACCCAAAACAGGGAGGAAAGCTGAGCTAAGAGACTCTTGAAAAGGAAAATCTAGCTGTTGTCAGACCCTACCATTACCAGACCTCTGTGCTGCCTTCATTTTCAGAAACAAATCTGACCTAAAAGCTTCTGGCTGGAGAGAAAGCAACCACATGGAATAATACAAATTAAGTTCTTCAGCAAAGCCCACAAGCTTCTCACTAAGCCCTTCCAGTCAGTGAGTGACTGCATCAATTACTCCAATTGCTTTAACAAGGTAGGTTCTCACAAATGATTCTGGATGAAAAGTGTAGGGTGGAATGAAATCCTTTTAGCACTGTCATTTAGCTTGAGTAGATACTGCCAAAAATGTTTTAGAGCACAATAAAAGTAACTGCCTTTTGGAGATCATGCAGCATAATATATTTATCTGTATTTTTTCAGTTTCTTTAGTCTCCCCTTAGTGCTAAGAGAGCTTGATTGTTAACGCAAGACTTTGGTAATGAACTGATTAAATTTCTAAACAAAACCATTAATTTCTGAAAACCAAAGTGGTCCTCTTTCAGACACCAAATGCCTGCCAGGACAGGGAGATTCGAACCCTCTCTTTCGACACTTGGAGTGATGAACCAGAACTAACATACAGTTCCATACTGGGCTTTCAGCAAGAACACTACCATTTGAACGCCTCGGGAGATCATTTACTATCTCTTAACATTAACTTATTCCTTCAAGTGTGAAATGGTTTGAAAATCACCCTCTGCCTAATGGTGCAATGCTATGTCATTAACTAAGCACAACTCCTTATTCACATCTGCCAACAACGAACAATATAAGCTGTAGAACCGTACAGATGCAAAAAACTGTTCTGGCGCTTTTAAGAACATTATGCTTTATTTATAATTTTGGAGTAGAAGCATAACTGAAAGAATGTGAAAGAATGAATATACTTACCTTGTAATAGAAAAGGAAAAGCCCGAAGAACAGACTGTAGAGATCTGCAGTCAGAATACCCAGGTTGACTGAGGTTGCGCTAGTAACTTTAATGACAACTGGCATGAAGCTGTACAGCCCAAACATGCACAGGGCAAAGACTGTGAACAACAGTGCTGTAAAATAAGATGACAAGTTACTCCTCAGGCACAGAACAATGATTTTAAAGAACACTGATAGTTTTCAGATGCTTTAAAAATATGTATTTTTATCATTTAGGATAAAGTCTCTTAAAAGATATAGGAATGTACATGTAAGAAAAACATGGAAGAAGTCCTTTTCCAAGACTACCTTGTATTGCAAGAATTACTGTATCTGTACAAGAAAGTTCTCATTCCTTTCTAGATAACATTAAGAGCTGACTGAAGAAATTTGGAGCCATATTTCTTGATAACGTTTAGCTGTTAAGGTCAAAATGTAATCACAAAATCAATTTGTCCAGTATTTTATTTAGGAAAGAAAACAGAAAAATGTTCTTGCAATGTTCCAACACCAAACACATTAGTAATGAAACAGGTTTAATTTTTAATTATTTCAATTTATTTTAAAAAATTATTTCCTGTTATATGTAAAATGCAAAACCTGCTTTAATGTTCAATCCTGCAAACCTTATCTCTTTGTTGAGCTACAAAGTTTGCAGAAAATATATCTGTGAAATATAATATTAATGCTGCTTAATATTCCAAGAAAGAAAAGGCAAATCCCAGCATTCAAAGTCTAAATCTAATTTTCCAGCATTCTTTAACATTCACATCATTTTTCCATACACATACCAACTTTCCAGTTCCACTGAATTCTCATTATCTCCTTATGTTCCACAATGGCTCTAGAAATTGAGAAAAGATATAATGCAGTAAAAAAGGGAAATAAAAATCATTTTCAAGTAGAGAATTTAATTACCAAAATATATAAGAAACATTTTGATTTATAATCCCTTAATTTTTTGTTTGAAATTTTACTGAATGACACAAACATCTAATAGGCATGAAAAAAAGACTTGAAAATTAAAGTGCCTGAAAGTTAAGAGCACTGTTATTTAATTCTTACGCCTTTTCCACTGTTTTTTTAATTCCTCAAAGATTTAGTTTTATTTGATGCACCATTTGGAGAAATTATTAACTATAATGATGAGAAATGAGTAACATAAAATTCATCAGATAGACTTAAGTGCATGTGGTCTGTTACTCTGATGTGGTTATTTGCATGAGTATACAAGGTTTCATTTTAAACTTGACTTTATTATGGAAGATGTCCTAACAATTATCTCCTAAATTTTTCCACAGAGAAAACCCATTAAGAAATACATTCCTCTCAATAGCCCTCAGCATACTGAGAGTTCTCATGAACATAACAAAATCAAAAATACAGCCAAGTATCATACTTGTTCAATTGCAGGAGTTCAGTTTTAGAATTGCTGTAATAAGAGTAGTGCAAATAAAAAGGATATAAAATGGATGTTGATCAGCAACATAAATCAAGTGGAAGGACTCCCATATAGACCAAATACAGATGTAACAAAGAATTAATTAATAACAGCATTTCATGGTAGACAAGCAATCATCTGTAGAACATTCTTAATTAGTTTCAAAATAAATATTAGATCCTTACAGCTGTAGACCGCTGACAATAGTCCCAAACAAGCCCACCATTCCTAGAAACTCCACTCTGCTCAGATTTTTCACAATGTATTCCTCACTCACATTAGAAATGGCATACAAAGAAGCACCAAGAAGCACTAAGACATCTCCAATCACCACGTCACTACCTGTACAGAAATATTAATCCACAATTAAGGGTAAGGCTGCAAACACTTTTTAGCTTTCCTTAAAAAGACAAGCAAATTTATCTCTAACATCTCTCCCTTTCTAGTACATTTAAGGGTAAGGGGAAAGGAAATGCCTCCTGCGTGTGCAGAGGAGTGTCTGAGCACGGACTCTGCTGCCTGCTCACCTCACCCTGCACAGTCTGAATAAGGAATGAGCTAAACCCAGCATTTACATCTCATCCTGATCAAGACAATGCTGTATCATCTGGTCCAGTCCTACTTCTGCTGACCTTGGGCACTGCAGGGAGTTGAGAAAATTCCTGGTTAGAAATGCTCTCTGCCTTTCATTAATATTGTCTCCACTTTTGCCATAAGGCCTGAATCAAGTCTCACTAGAATCAATATATTGATTTTGGTGGGACCCAGACTCAGTTTCAGGTTTATGACAGGTCTTAAGTGGGCACTGTAGATGGGTGGTACCATGTGTCCTGCTGCAATGTATTTATACTGTGCAAATGGGACTCCCTGTGCTACAACCACTTATCGAGTAAATGTTGCTAAAATAGCTAAATAGCACAAGGATCCCTGTTTTTTAAATCCTTGAATTGATTTAAAATTTCCTTCCCTAAGCCAGTTGGTAATCACTAAGAAAATATGTCTAAAATACGAGGGTAAGCAGTAGTAAGGATCCCCAGGTCAGCAAATAAAGCACAACTGTCCTGAAGACTCGGGGAAAGATTTTTCTCCCTCAGGACCAAGATGCTTGTACCACATGGCAGTAAAGCTAAACTTCAGTTTGTTCTGTCTTCCCTACTAAGGTCCCAAAATAATGCCACACAGGTTTATCTCTAGGCTGCCTTATGAAGACAATGCCCTGAAATTTACCTTGTCCCACACCCTCTGTCTGAAAATTCAAGATTCTTATTCAAAATAAGATGACTACAATATGGGTTGATTTGGGTATCTGTCATAGAGAAGACAAGACCTGCCCTTAACTGCTGCACCCAGCTGAATCCTGGTCCCCAGAGCCCAGCCTTCCTCCCAGAGGCCCCAGGAATCCCAGCATCCTGCCCCATCTGTCTTGCTCTCCCATAGTAAGCCCCTGCTTTCCAGACTGCAGCCTATGCGCCTTAGGGATACATCAATCACTTCTGTTGGGTCTGCCAAAGATAACTCTGAGAAGTCAGCTGCTGTGAGCAACTTTTTATTTGGTATTTGTACTCAAAGAAAACTGCAAATCAGAGAAGACTGACTACCAGCAGGCTGATACTGTGTAAGCAAGACAAGGTTTGCAGGGAGAGGCAACTTCTTCTATTAAACCATCTCACATGATAGTCAAAGTTAACAAGCTTTCAAGAATGAGACTTCTGTCACATGTAATGGACAGCAGCAAAATTTGAGCTTAACAAAAGTGTTTCTCTTTTAAGGTAGAAGAAATAATCCAAACACACAAGCAAAGACATTCCACAGCTCCCCATAAAATCACCATCTCCTCTTCTTGGACAAGAAATACAAATAGCAGTATGTTCTCTTCTTTTAAAACAGAACTATATCCACTCCCCCTGCATTTGCTCCTCTTTCTGATTTAGAAGTTAGCCCACCACAGCAACCATCTCTCTGGTCTTCCCCCCCGCAATAAAGTACTCCTTACCTTCACTGTCCTGCCTCCCTGCCAAAATGTCTGCACCCACCATTGTTCCTACACCAAGCAAACAGACGGCAACAGCAATAAAATGTATCAGCCTGTATCTTGCTCGGAGAATGAACCATGACAAAGCCATCAGCACAGGAATCCCAAAGCAGTCCAGCAGCTGTGTGCACAGAAAAATTGCTTGAGTTAGAAATGCACCCCAAATCTGGACTGCAACATCCTGAAAGCAAGTGTATTGGATATTACTTTCCATCAGTTGTTAATGAAACCTGCAAAGCAACCTCAGTGGATGTGTTTAGGAGAGGGGTGAGACCTACATTTTACCATGAAAAGCATTTTGCAAGTGATGAAGGAGCTGCAGCAGGGATCCACTCCCTCCCAGTAGTAAAATGCTGACTTAGAAATTCTTCTAATGATGGATCTAATAAAACTTCACAGCTTCACAAATGAATTCTAGGATGTCACTCTTAAAGAGCATTGCTCCCCACTGCTCCATGTACACAAAGTCAAAATCTGGATCTATTGATTGATACAAGTAATCTGATTTTACATGGAAGTGACTAGGACAAGAATCTGACCCTATAGCTCAACTGGATCATACAAAAAACAGAACAGGTACACGTGCTGGAAACCATGTGCAAAATTGGTAGAAATAAGATAGGTAGCAAAAACAGTTGTCCTTAAGTCATCTTCCCAATCTCCCAGCTTCCCACAAAAACACATTTAAGTCACCAATGCATTTTCATCGCTCTATCAGAGTTGACTCTTAATTAGTCAGAAGCAGGTAACCCACTCTAATTCACCCATGACCCAGTAGCAGAGATGCACAAGGCACCTGGAATTTTGGAGCACTTCAGATGTGTTTGCAAACACTGCCCCAAGCAGCCTGAACATCTGTGGTTCAAGGACATCTGTGCTCCATGACAAGCAGTGATGACATTGACTTCTCTCTCTTTATTATCCCCTCTGTACATGTTCCTATGCACCTTTACCTTGCTGTTAGACTCACACACAGAATCACAGAACAGTTTGGGTTGGAAGGGATCTTAAGGTTCATCTAGTTCCAACCTCCCTGTCATGAGCAGAGACACCTCCCACTCAACCAGGCTGCTCAAAGCCCTGTCCAACCTGGCCTTGAACACTTCCAAGGATCTTCCACCTTTCCTCCTTCAGTAGATAGAGCATCAAGAGTTAGCTGTGCACTGCAGCATAAGATGGGCATAATGCTCTAGAATAACCAAGTAACACCATGATCACTGAGCTAATCATAATTGGTTTAATATTTAATTCAATTAAATAGATTTTGTTTCATGAATTTGTGTAGAGGAAAGGAAACGTCTTTTTCTAACCTGCCTTAGTAGAGTGCCATGAAGCTACATAAGGGAACAGCCTGGAGCAGAACATACAGTTAACTTCCCAAAGACTGCTCACAAAAGACTTTCAAATGTCAACCCTTAAAACTTGGCCTCTTGAAGTCCCAACGACGTATAAGGTCCAGGTCAACAGGACTGTGGCATAATCACTACAATCAAGACAAGAGCCCTTAGTCCTTAATGTCCATTGCCAGCCTCTGCTTGCCTAAGCGTACCACTGCAGTCAACTTCTGTGCTGACTTCTAGGCTGGCTGCCAGTAGTCAGCCATTATCCACAAGGGATTTAACCAAATTTTTTAACATTCTGATGATGTGTCTGGTTTTACTTGTTCATAACTACATATAGTACAGTCTCCCAAGCATAGTGTTAAGGGAAGCTATTACAGATTAAATCCTCTCAGTGCCTCTAATATTTCCATCTCTTTGTCTTCACTCCTTGGATTGCCTTCAGCTGTTTGTAAAGTCTGTTTGTAAAGTGCAGAAGTACTTGCCTACACTGTATTATGAGACATTACAACTACCCAAGTCCCAACATGTGATACCAAGTATTTCATTACAACCTTACACTGTGGAAAAGTATCATGCTGTGACTATCTTGTCACAGGTCTTGTTCTATATCTTACCTTTAGTCTAGACTCAAGAAAAACCTTCTAACATTTCCTTCAAATTCAACTGTTTTGACTAGTATCAAACAACAAGAAATATTACAAACATAAGAAAGTAAAATGTTTATCCCCCTAGTGGTAGCCATCTCTTCTACTAATAAGTAAGCATTCATGTCGCCATTAATTGAAATGTTAGCACACGGCCTTACAACCTCCAAGCAGCTTTTCAACCCAAACAGAAGGAGCAGAAGAAAAACCCTTAAAAAAAAAAAAAATTCTTAATGAGGATGTAGGGGAGTAGTACATAATGAGCTAGAAGTCTTTCAGTTACGGCAGATGGGGAATTGTTGCATCCAGTACAAGAACATATGGTAGAGCTCCAGCATCCTGATTAGAGGACTTGCAGCCAGGACACACAGGCACCAAATGATGAAGAACACATTCTGGTAATCTATTTCAGGAGACAATTACCCTCAATTACACACAAATGAAATCAGATTTACAACTACTGGATCTTGCCTTCCCTTCATCTAGGACATTACAGAGCTCTTCTGTACAGGATCAGGATCAAAGAGGTGCAAAGCAGATGTAACATCACAATGAATTGTGTCAATGGAACCAATTAAAAGAATAAAGTTTATTTATTCAGGTTTTATTATATTTACAGCAATACTGTGGTACTGACTACTATTGCCAGTAGAGCCTCGTCAAATGCTCATCTTATTCAATTCCAGCCTGCTCATCTTATTCAATTCCAAGTGAGGAAAAAAATAAGATGACCTGGTGATTTGATTTACAAATGTTTTGACTCAAGCCAGGCTTTGGCCACACTGTTTATCGGAGGTTTTAAAGATAGGGTGAGTAAATTATTAAAAGACATTTTAATACATGGTTAATAAATTATCATAGACTGTTGGAGGTCACTGGTTTGCTTATAATTGCCAGCTCCAGACAGCTTTGTAAGCAAGAAAGCTCAACTGACCATCCTGCTTGCTTCCTCACAAGGCTCCCTCAGGGCAGCTTCCAGCTGAGCCCCAGGAGCTCATCCTGCATTTCCTCCTCTTCCATCAGCTGATATTCTGTCAATAGTTGCCTTAAAAATGCTTCCATTCAAATTATCTACAGGGCAAATGCTAAATGTGCCAAATAACATGTTAAAACATGAAGCCACAGCTACGCAGCTTGTTTTTTGCTATGAAATCATATAATCATAGAATACTCTGAGTTGGAAGGGACCCACGAGGATCATTGAGTCCAGCTTCTGGCCCTGCACAGAACAGGCCCCAAGAATCACACCATGTGCCTGAGAGTATCATCCAAACACTTCTTGAACTCTGTCAGGCTTGGTGCTGTGACCACTTCCCGGGGAGCCTGTTCCAGTGCTCAGCCACCCTCTGTGTGAAGCACCTTTTCCTAATATCCAACCTAAGCCTTCCCTGACTCAGCTCCACACCCTAATATGTGGTCAAACAGCAACACAGTCAAGTCCTGTCACAAGACAGGACATCAGCAGCAAGAACTCTCCTGGCACTGCCTCAGCCACAGCCAAACAGGAAGAGTTCAGCTGTGGACCAAAGTCTTTTTCTTCATTTACAGAGAAATGAGAGCTGCCATCCCATTGTTATCTCCTAAAAAAATCTCCCAACCCCCTTCTGTGAAATGCTGGTATTTGATAACTAAAGGGAAATCAGTTCCGCTTTTGTGTGCGTATGTGAGAAAATACATGGAAGTTCCTTGCTGAGCTGAGAAAACTTACCTTTGAAGATATGTTTCATAGTGCTGAGCTGAAGCTCCAGCCAGTTAGCATTTTAACAGTGTATTTCCCTGTATTTCCCTACATTCCCTGTCTTTCAGAAGATGCCATATACCCCTGTGTCACTTTATGCTCCCTGGGCATCCACTCATAGCCAGTACTGCAGACAGGCCATCAGACTGGGTGCTCTGAACCACAGGTTCTGATGTAGCTGCAAAACTGCTTGCTAATGACAGAATGACTTGCACTAAAGCAGATCACAGGCTTTCCTTTTTTTTTTTTTTTTTTCCCCCTACTCCTGTATCTCATTTCTGAGAGAGGTGAAAAACTGGTGACTTCAGGGAATGTGCAAGAAACCTCATGGCAACAGGCAATTACAACAAAATCGAAATTACTGAACTGGCACAAAGCAGCATCAGTCTGAAGGTAACCAAAAGGAAAAAAAGGCTCAGAAAATGCTTGAGTTTGGCAACTGGACAGGAAAACCTATTATAGCTGTTCTTTCTTAATTTCTGTGAAAGAAATCATGGGAATAGCTTTACTACTTCTGAGAACTTGGATCAAAGTCCTGGCTTTTTAAGCTGTAAAGTATATGATCAAACAGTGTTTCAATTATCAGCTTAACTTGATCTTGAGACTGAAATGTGTTGCTCTTAAAGCTTTGATTTCTTTGGCACTATTTGTCAGGAAATTAAAGGCCTAAGGAGTCCTAACACCTAAGTAAAACGTGGAAATGTGACAGTAACAACCCAACAGGCACCACTGGTCTTTAGGAGTGCGAAGAGAAGTTACTGCACTTCTCTACAGAGAGCCCAAATCACAGGAGATTATTGCTTTACAGGTAATTCTTTTAAATATTAACCCTCATTACTTTGACTCTGTAAAACACTGACACCTAAACACTCACTTCCAACTAACAGCCAAATCTGCACTTTACATTGGTTTTTTATTCAGGCCGTGACCCCAGCCACAGATCCCCAGTACAGGTACCAGCAGGCATGAACTGGCACAACCTGGACACACACCCTCCTTGCTTGTGCACCATCCCCTCCCCTGTTCCCACAGCAGCCACAAAGCTGGGCTTGACACAGCTCACTAACAGGTCCAGCCAAAGGTAGGGTTTAGTCCCACTTTGCTCAGTGCCCTGACCAAGTCTGCTCAAGATATCTGGCCATGCAAGCTCAGGAACATGCAGTTGGAGGCAGGAGGAAAGCACTGACTCCTCCAGCAGCTTTTTCTATATAGAGTGACAGAGAAATCCCAGCCTTAACCCTTCTGCTTGTAGAGCTATTTCAGAACACAAGATTTATCCTAGTGCAGCATTGCAGCATCAACTACTAGTGTTGCAGAGGATGTCTACTATTAGTTTAGCAGTCTGGCATGCTGACCTCCCTTCTGCCCCTTCCAGAGAGGACCCTGAAGTGCCACAACCAAAAGAGACATGGCTGGTCCCTCACTGCATGGTCAGCAACACCAGCTAACTATCAGTATGTCCTCATACATGGGGTTACATCTCACAACACCTCCCGCAGCTTCCAGGAGTAGGCAGGAGACCTACCTTGCTTTTGTCAGCAAGAACCTGCACTGAGTGACTGTTATCTGGTCATAAATCTTTATTTTGTGTCAGGAGAAAAAACTGAGTGGCTGTCAGCAAACTCTTAGAAGTGCTTTTATCAGAATAATTAGAGTTCAGCTTAAGAGCTGGCACAGGGCAATAATACCAGCCAATTTTCTTTCCTTCCTGGAAAGGTTATTCATGATACAGGATGCTCTTCCCCGTACTGCAGAGCAAAAATAGATACTGGAAAGTTCTTTTCAGGCTTAAATAGCTTCCATGTCTGTCCTATGAATCTCATTTTAGAAACTAGTCCAAAACTGCAATAAAAGCAACAGTTAAACAAGAGAGATCAGTCCTTACCTGCACACTTGTGAGGGTTGTATATTGGTAGGCTCTTACAATCATGTAATTGGCTTCAACATCAGCCACTCCCAAAAAAATATACTTCCACCACCTCTGTTTCAAAATTTGCCAAAGACTGTCACCACCTGTTAAGAAGAAAGCAGTAATCAATATGTGTTTCTTTCCAACCAAATGTTGCAAAGGAACTTTGCTTTTTAGAAGCATAAATAATACTGAGATGTTTGACTTTCCCTCTGCTTAAGAAAGATACACTGACATCAAAATGCAGCCTGGGAGGAGACAATGAAAATGGGTGAAAAGCACAGGAATTCTTCCACATGAGGAAAAACCCAACAAAACTGGAGTTGTTTAAAGAGTAAATTAACAAGAATAGGAAGACTACTAAATAGCCTCTGGTAACAAAGCTTGTTACAACATAGCCTATTTTCCCTAATATAACATTTGACTTCAAACAAAAAAGCACAAAACTTTAAACAGATATGAAATTAAATGCACATTTAACCAGTAAAATTCATTTCCATATGTTATTAAAAAGCATGAACTTTAAAAACTAGTATGAGTATTGAGTTCTGTAGTTTCAAATTCTGAAAAGAAAATGTAAGGGGAAAAATAAAAAGATAAACCAGAATCTCCCATCCCATATTTCACATACCAGTCCTAAATGCCAGCGTTGTTGTATAAACCAGAAGCAGCAAAGCATAATTGATGAAACTTTGAAACATTGGAGTATTCACTTGGTATTTTTCTGCTAGGTACTGGCTTGTAACAGCAGTCCCACAGATAAACAAAGAGAGCATCTGGCCCAGAATTATCGTTTTCAAAATATGCCTGTGAATATAAAACAAAACAGTAAGTTTAGAATTAAACATTCAAGTTTCTAAAAAAATATTTGCTAGTTGTACAGGGAAAATGCCTTTTTTTTTTAGATTGGCACTTTGTTCTTTTCCTACTCCCTACCAGTGTTGTTCTGATCTACTGGTAAGCAGGGCTTTGGATACACAGAAGATCTAGTCTAACCTCAGGAGAGCCATGTAAGAAGTGAGGCCAGTCAAACCACCAGTGATGGAGATTGCAATAATTTGCAAGGATCTTCGAGCAGCTCACCTAGTCAGACTCTACCTAATAGGAGGTTCTATTCTTATTAAGACAGCTTTTTGAGTCAAATCCTTTGTCCTCCACTGAATTTCATTCTAACTTTGGAGACCTGATGAGACTATTTAGCACCCTGTCCAGTAGCATCTTGCAAATCTCCAGTGATGGAGACTCCACTCCATCCCTGGGGAAGTTGTTTCACTGATTGTTCTCACCTTAAAAAAAACAACAAACCTTTCTTATAATAAGAGTTATTATAGTTAATAATTATTGTGAATTTTTTTCAGACATATTCCATCATGTTCTGCTGTAATCAAGGATGGAGTTAAGAACGCCTTTTGGGTAAGATGATGTTTGCATTTACAATTCCTCTTAAGTTGAACCCACAGCAAGGGAAAGAGCCAAACAAACCACACTCTTTCAGTAGCAATTTTTCATCTAATATAAAATGAACTATTTCAGATGCTCCTAGAGAAACAGGAGCAAGTAACACTGTGTATCTTACAGCTTGCTGTTTATCCTGCCAATGGATCTATGCAGATTTGTACTACCCCAGTCTCTGCATACACACAATATACAGTGACAGGAGCTCAGCCCTGTGCTGTCTGTACATTTAATTTGTTTACTCTGAAGACCTGATGAGAGTTTAACTGTCCACACAATTGATTCACTTGCTCCTACTCAAAGTAGTTGAGCAAGGAAAGAAAGGATTCCATTAGGGTTCTGCACATACCCTGCTCACATCTCTTCACACAATGACTTCTGGCAGGACACTCATGCGTCAGACACACCACCTAAGAGTAACACTGTTTCCCCCAGATGGATGACTTAAACATAGTAAATATCAGCTCACCCTGCTATGCTGCCCAGTTCAGTTGCCAGGCAAGAAAAAAAACTTTGAAGCTCCATCACTTCTATTATATGTTTTTTACACTGGTTAATGGTCTAATTGTGCTATTTGGTGAACAAAACAAATGATTGTGATACATTATGTCTAATTATGCTCACCATGTTCCAGTAAGAGGGTAAAATCTGCTGCCATTCAAATCCGCTAAAGATTGATCTGCTTTACTGAAAACAATAAAGACCCGGCTGCCCTCTTACAGTGGAATAACTCCACTAAGCTGCTCTTCATCTTTTCTAATTATCAAGTTTCTCCAGTTTAAAGTACCTCAGGAATTATTTCCTTGTGTTTCTGCATATGGGAAGAGATGCAGGTCCAGAACCTCCAGCAAATGTTTTGCTTTGTGGTTACTACCCAAGCAATCATTGCTGCTGAGTTAATGTCTCAGGAGTCCTACAGCATTTACTTCTATAGTACCAAAGGCATCTGACAAAGCAAGCAGGCTTCATTGCACCTCATGACCTTCTCTATTTTCCTCTGTTTTAATTCAGGGTTTTTTCTTCATCCCTGAAGAGATTCAAAATGTTAACTTCAAAAGAGACACATAAGGACATTGTTCAATGACAGTGGAAGGCTACCCTCAAAAAATGTCTTCTGTGAATGCTCAAATGCCACATACCTGGCAGCTTTCTCAGCTGTGCATAAGATAACAGTCTCTTGCTCTGACTGCCCCCTAACACCACATTGAAGCCTCAGCAGGAAGCAGCAGTCGTTTCCCCTAACACCATTTGCCAGAGTGTCAAAATTAATTTCTTCAAATTGAAGTGATGGTGCCATGCTCCTGGCATGATGCACTGGACTCACAGCCTATCTTAATAAAAAGTGTTTGACCCTCTATAAAGTTTGAGAACAAACTTTAAATACTAAATTTTGCAAGACAATGTCTCCTGAGAAAAATGCTTTGAAGACATGAGTTTCCATTCATCTCAGTATTGACATGAGTATCGATGATGGGGATTTTCTTATTAATAATTGATCATATTTTGAAATATATTATTAAATTTTTCATGCCAGAACTTTTTTTTTTTTTAATGCATTTGAATAGACTAAGTCACTCTGGACTCTCAGATGATGCAAGGTAAGTGGTCTGAAAAGGCCTTTTATTTTTATAGTTGGGGGGTGGGTGTTGTTTTTTAATGATTGGTATCTGGCTACTAAGCAATTACTCCTCCCCTCCCTTCAGCCACCATATCTTAGCTAGCTGTATCTATGGCTTTGAGCAAAACTAGGAGTCATTTTGTGAGTTTTTGGAGCATGAAAATTTGCCACAATTTGGTCTAAAGTGAACACTGAACAATGTGTAGCTCTCGACATCATGAGAAAGTCAGGCTGGCTTTCCTTGGCTCCATGTGAAACGCAGAATAAAAATACACCAAGATAGTAAAATACAATCAGAGTCTATGTCTGTGGAAGTTAAAGAAAATCTAATAAACCCACAGTTAACAATTTTATTGGCTACTAGTTTACCAAATCCTATAATTTTAATGTGATTTTTTTCATTAAAATAAATACACCTTTTCAAAAGTTAATTTTATTTATGCCACCAATTAAACACTAACAGGCAAAGCCTGGCAACACTACACAGAGAGTCTACGTGCACTTAGTTTTAACTACTGAACCCTTCCTAAATCAGGAGGAAGTGACCTTTTAATGTCAATAATCTCACCTTTTCATATGAGGAATGGAAAGTTAGTTAAAGGAAAAGTGCAGGTTCAGACAGAACCATATTGCAACATAATTAGCACATAGCTCAGGACTACCAAATATATTTTTAAGAACTAATGTCATCACAAGTTACTGTTTTGCAGTGTTCTGCTTTGAAACTGAGGTCAATTTAATTTAACAGAAAAGACAGACTTCTTTAATTCAAGCACCAGAAATATACTTTCTACTGGTTTTACTCAAAAACCAAAACAAACACACACACACAAAAAAAAAACCACACACACCAAAAAAAAAAACCCAAAACAAACAAACAAACAAAACCACAACCTACAACACTTCACAAAATTCAGTGAAAGCACTTTATTTTCTTTCAAATACCATCCACAGACTTAATTGGTGTAGCCCTCTGGTAAAACTAACTACCATAGGTGAGGTTACTGAACAGTTCAACAACTTTCTATCTTGCCTTTTGGGTCGTTCCTGACAGGCAGAAAGAATGAAAAGAAAGAAACTTGTATAACCAAAAGAGAAAGACAAGCTTTGCCCCCTGGAACAAGGCTCTGCTTGGCCAGCACACACCTTCACACAATCCAGTTGCCAGACTACAGCTTACGACAGAGGCATGAGGCTGGTAGGAAAGCCAGTACATCCTTGGCTGACAAAGAGGAAATCTGATGCAATAATTATTAAGAGACCAAGCCTATGGCCTAGAGCTTGAGGATTACTCCCCCCACCATGGAAACTGACGCTCTAAGTAGATGTAGCTCTAGAAGGCTGAGGAGGTATTCCTGCTCTTGTAAGAGTGCAGGAATGCAGTGCTTCACAAGTACCAGCTTTAGAACACATGCTATGCCTGCACAGCTTGGCAATTTTTTTTCCACAAGTTTTCCATGCTTAACCAGTATCTCATATTTCAAGAGATATACCTGAATAGGTCTCTGCCCTAAACCAATTCAAGGAAGGAGGGAAAGTCTTTCTGGACTCCACACCTCAGCTCAGCTATTTTGTTTTGTTACCTTCACCGCCACCTATGACCTGTTCTTCACAACGAAGTTGATCGAAGATTACTGAACACATAGAAGTACAGAAAAAAAGAGGGAAACGGAAAAATACTAAGCCAGAGTTACTAAAAAACAAAACGAAACAAAAAAGTGCACGTGTACAGATACAGGAGTGCACTCTGACAACGTCAGACACGTCACTCGCTAATTCTACACTCCTCTCAGCTGAAGAGACCCTTGGCGCTCTCGCCCGGCAGCAGCCGCAGGCTGCGCTCAGCCGTGCTCCCGCAGTAGCCCCGGCACCAGAGCGCCCCGCACCCGCGGCGGTGCCAAAACGCCCCTGAGCCACCTCTGCCGGGGCGCCCGAAGGGTCCGGGCTCTGCCCAGCCCGGCCGTAACCCCGGGCCCGCACCGAGGCGGGTACTCTGGCCCAGGCACCACGCGGCTGCTCCCGGCGGCACCGATCGGCCTGCGCATCCCCACCGCGTTGTCGGCCAACGTGCTGAGCGGAGAAGAGGGATCTTTTTCCCTTTCTCTCTTCATTCCCTCCCTCCCTCCGGAGGCCGGCGATGCACGGCTCCACGGGGAGGCCGGGGACTCACCAGGTACAGAGCTTGGCCCCGAGCAGCGCCAGCAGCCGGCGCGGGGCGGGAGCGGCGGCCCCGGGCGGGGGCTCGGCCACAGCAGCAGCATCAGCAGCAGCGGCCGCCGCAGCCCCGGGCGGCGGTGCCCCGGCAGCCGCGGCCGCCTCCTCCATGGCCCGGCGCTGCCCCGGCCCCACGCCCGCCGGGAGCAGGCAAGGAGGGAGGCAGGGAGGGCGGACGCTAGCGAGGCGGCGGAAGGAAGGGAGGGACGGAGGGAGGGATGAGCAGCGGCGGCGGGACGGCGGCACACAGCGCTCCTGGCAGGGGCCGAGCCCGGCTTTGTGCCCGCCGAGGGGCCGCCCCCGGGAGGGGCATGGGTCGTCCTGGGGCGTGGGGTCGGAGGTCTGCTGCTGCCTGCTTAGGGGGGATGATGCTGTTCGTCTTCCTTTCCCTCGGCAAGCCCCGGACACGTGGTTTTCTCCATCCGCCGGGAGCAGGTGGGAGCAGCGAAAGGCAGCTCTAGCAGCGCCAAGTTCGTGTTCCCGCTCTCCCGCGGGGCTCCGGTAGCAGCCCCAGCATGGTGCACCGATGCGGGTCCCTGCAGGGCTACTATGCCCCCTGGTCAAGTGGCCGCAGCTGGCCTGGTGCTCAGGCAGTTCAGGCTCATCTGCCAGTTACAGGAGTCGAAGTTACTCTAAACCCTTAAAGTTTAGCTTCTCACAGCTTTGCGCGCAGCCTTCAGCTCTTCTACTGTTCCAGCTCCTACTTCTTTACTGATAATTCCCATGCGTATGGATTTATCTCAGCCTGTTTGTCTTCACCCGCGTCTCAGGGCAACTCAGCTGGAGAACCTGGTGATATTTTGCATACTGATAGGGGTTTTAACGGCACTCAGCTGTTAATGATGCTGTCACAGGTGGCAGAATTAAACCCCAGAAGTGCTCCCAGGAAGAGCTCAACTCTTGGAATTCCTTGCTACAGGTAGGCTGCAGCAGCCTCACACCAGAAAGCCACTACCAGGCTGGGGCTTTACTGCAGAGCTGCTCACCTGCAGAAGAATTCCAGTACCAGAGGGGTATCTGTGTACTGTGAAACTATGAAACCAAGTAAAAAGAGTTTAAGCAGGTTGGGATTGCTTTTTAATTTAATTTTTTAACAAAGAAAAGAAGAAATTTTTTAAAAAAACAGCAATAACATTTTTTAAAAGTGCCTTTTGTTAGACTTTGGGGACTAAGTTTATTTCAGAGTATGGTAAATTCTGCCATCTCAAAACATTGTTATAGCTTGTGGACAACATTGTCGTGAATGCAGAGATATGTGAAAAGTCTAAACACGACTTTGTGTTCAGCTACTCCTGCTTCAGGCTCCTGCTTTACTATGATTCAGTGTTCATCCCAGGTATGGTCGTGGCTGTGTGTTTCTGGATTTTTGTTGGTTCCCGAGTTTGCCTCATGCTGCAGCAAAGAGGCCTGCAGTGTGTGCCGACCAGGCTGACTGGCCCCACAGACCAGACTTGGTATTGTCATTTCCTATTGCCATCTCACGAGTGGAAACATGGGAGTGTGTGCATCTAAGGCTATGTACCACATTCTCTTTCAGAGATAGAAAAGTTGTTCCTGGTGCCCTTCGAAAGTAACTGGTTACACTGTAACATGATTTACTGTGTCTTTTCCAGGATGAGTGAAATCCCTGGGAACAACTCTAGACTAGTAGACGTATAGCTCTTTTTTGACTTAGCAAAAATGTAGACGAAGTACTATTAGAAATATATTTGTAGAGTTCTTTAAAAATTAATCATTCAAAAGTTGTATCTGAAATATCAAACTATTTTGAAGTGTGCCTGAAAGGAACTAGCAATCCAAATATTTTTTATAGTTAGATGTCTTCTAGAATGGATGAAGGGTAGTTCAAAAGTACTAGCATCGAGTTTTGGTGGGGTTTTTTTGCTGCTTTTCAAAAAAAAAATTACTTTTGAGCTGAGAACAAATAAAAGAATTAGCACAGCCATAAAAAATGAGAAACAGGCATAGATCTCATATCGTCATCTACCTTCAACTTGGTTTTGTTAAACAGTTTCATTTCAGTGTGTCCTATCAGGCTGTTCCTCGTACTGAGAAAATCATAACTTTGACTAGGTGATAAAAGTAGATAACAATGATAATAAGTAAAAACACAGAACATAATTTTCAAGTTGACAGCATCTGCTTTAAGTTTCAGGGAGCTTAAAGGACAACGTCATTGTACACTTAGACACTTTGCTGTATATCACTGTAACAAAATTATATTTTCTGGATTTGCCTTATCGACAAAAGGAAAGAGAAAAAAAATCTCATTAATTGAACTTAAAATCTGAAAATGCAGAAGTGATTCCTTATAAAATGCTGAGCAGGCATAATGTTAGAGGTTCTTTAATTGGAAGTATAATGTGCCACTAGAGGTCCTTCATGGTCAGATTATATTTTCCTCCACAGCGTTTTAGGATTTCTTACTATTTCTTTATCCATGCTAAATATGAGAACTACAATCTCTAAATAAATTTATTTTGCTTAAAGTGTTACATTCGTAGAACAATAGAGTGATTTTTCCTTGATTAAGCTTTTTCTGGGAAAATATCAAAAGGGTTTTCCAAATAGCATTTCTTTAATTAAAGCTCTTGTTTTATTAAAAAATAAAATATTATTTATTTTTTACTTCAATAACTGCATGTTTTCACATTTCCTACTTTTCATTGTCTTATAACACCTTCTTAACATAACCACTTTTCTCTTAAAAAAATAAAGGAAGAAAACAAATATTGAACTAATGAGTGGAATTAGGATAAACAACAGGAACAATAATAATAATAATAATGGCCAGTCTTCGCGAGCGAAGATCCGGGGAAGGTCTTTCCACCTTCCAGCCTGCGCTTTGGATTTTTTAGGTGAGACACAGTGTGCGCGGAACTGAGCCTACCCTTTAATCCTAAGGTTCATCTGCCGGGGCCAAGCGAGCTTGGACGGTGGCAGCGAGGTCCTCAGGACGTAGGTGGGTTGCCTTTAAGGGCTAACGAGCCCCACCTGCCTGGGAGTGGCCCTGACCGGGAATCGAACCCGGGTCTCGGAGGTGATAGCGCCGCGCCTTTACCACTAGACCACCAGGGGCTGCCTAACAGGAACAATAAAACAATATGTAAGGTAGTTTTTCTCTGCTGCTTCATTATTTTCTTTTTTTTCCTATTTAGAAGTTGATTAAAAATGTCTGAATGCTACTTTGAAGAACTGTGCAGCCTTGGGACTGAGATTAAATGTCTCACTGCAGAACACAATGTCATTTATTGGGAAACCAGTAACAAAGATTTGTCATTCACTATTTGGAAATTATTAGGAACTGAGGCCAAGAAATCCTTGCTGTTCCTGGGATGGCCATGAGCTGATAAGTCCTAATAGCTGCACAAGCAGGTAAATGGAATCACACAGTGTATCAGCTGGAATCAAGGCAGAGATGTGTTAGACTATACAAAGTCCTAGGGAGACTTTTAATGAAAGATAGGGTTTGTGCTGGTTACTCGTATTCAAGACAAATATGCAGAAAGATGCAAAAGGATCTCTAGGAGACCACGGGAGCTTGGCTCGTTAGTCTAGCAGAGGACACTGAGATGAAATAGGAATGCTGTCAAAAATGCAACTGAGAGCAAACCCTAGAAAGAAACGTTCTAAAATAAAACACAATGTTAATACTAGGACAAACATGCATATATGAAATATTATTAGGTTTAAACTGACAATTAGAAGGGTTCCTTACTAACATTTAAAATACAGCTGTGTCTATTAGGACCATCACAGCCTGGAACAGATTTTCCGTAGAAGTAGCAGAAACAGGAAATTAACTACCTGGCAGCAAGGCATTAGCTCTGATAGCCAAAAGATTTCTTCCCATACTGTATCTATAGAAAAAAAAAAAAAAAGGATTTGCAGATGAAAGAAATCACCATTTTAAAATTAAAATATTCTAATATTCTCTAAAATTAGCCATTAAAAAAATTTAATCAAAGAAACATCACATTAAGCTACCCAGTGCAAAACCCACCATATCCTGTGGTGCAGGGGTGGTTCTGCTGTCTCTACCAGGAATGAAATATGATAAAGGATGTGTTTTCACATTGTAATGTCAAAAAAGGTATTAACTAAGCAAAAGCAACTAAATAAGGAGTGAGAATTTCATTATGTGGTGAGTTTTATTTATTCAGAAGTAACAAGAATAGAATTTAGATACTTGATTGTCAGTGAAAATCACCAGAGCCAACAGAAATTGTAAGACAGAGTCATTTGAGGGGCAATCAATACGAGGTCACACAAGTCTATGTATCTGTATTTCTGGTCTCACACAACATCTTCACTTCCTGTTTTACCTGAGGTATGACCCGCTGCTTGGAACTGCACCCAGGAAAAAAAAAAAGGGTTTTTTGTTGCAAATGTAGTGTTTCCAAGGCCTAAGTAAACCTATGTGGGTGTTAATTTCAGTAATAACCAGCAAAATCTCAAAGGACACTGGCTTTTCACCCAGTCCAAACACAGCTCCCTCAAATTTTTAATCTTCCAGCACTGACAGCAACATAAATGATAGTGAAAAAGCTAGTGGAACAACTGGAGATTACAGCTCCAAACCATGAGCTCAGTCTCAGAAAGGCAGACATAATAAAGCCCAAGGACCATCAAAATTTAAATCTACTTAGGATATATTGAAAGCATGGGTTTTTTTTCAAAACTCTTTGTCCCTGAAATGAAGGAAACTGTTCTTCAACCCTCTGACAAACTTTTTTCTCTTAAGAGAATTGTATTCTCCCAGTGGTTTTATGCAATAGCATTTAACACCTCTGACTGTGCAGCTGCAGCTACAATAAGTCCTCTTTAACAAGCATCTTCTGCTCTTTGAGCTAAACAGAAGAGTTTGGGGTTTTATTAGTTGATGACACTGATGACTAAGAAGATAACATTTGAAAAGACCCAGCAAATTGCCTAGAGTTTCATCTATACAGACTAGGATACAACCCTATCTGAAAGCTTCCCACATTATTTAGGAATTATAATCTAATAAATATTCCTAAAGTTTGTGAAGACTTTGTGTTTTGTTTTGCAGTGAAAAACTCCTGGCAGTAAGAATTTGTGAGGATCACATGGGTGTCCTTGGCTGCATT